GCAAGGTATAGGGATATATCCACATAAAGATATGTATCATATATGTATGTCTGTATATATGTGTTATACATGTTCACATTGCATACATACACACATACAGAGAGAATGCACACTAGAGATAAGTAGAGAGAAAGAAAAAGCAAATGTATCAAAATGTCAGATGTTCACAGTATTATTCTCTTTTATTTTCTCTAGCTTTAAAATTTTCAAAAGAAAATTTTGAGAAAAAAATTAAAAAATAAGGTCCCAAGAATAAAACACTTAGAGAAAATATTTTAAACAAAATTTTATGACATCTCATAGGAATGTTATATATCTTATCCTACTTTCTCTAAACACTGTGTGCTGTGGACTGAATGTTTGTGTCCTCCCCCTGCCCCCTGGGGATTTATACGTGAAGCCCCAGATCTCCATGTGACTGTATTTGGAGACAGGGCCTTTAGGGAGGTAATTAAGGTTAAATGATGTTATATGGGTAGGCCCCTGATCCAAGAGAATTAGTGTCCTTAAAGGGACAGACACTTTCTCTTTGTGAGGGTACAGACCAAGGAAGGGTTATGTGTACACACAGCAAGCAGGAGGCCGTCTGTAACCCAAGGAGAGGGCCCTCACCAGACACCAATCTGTTGGCACCTAGATCTTAGACTACCCAGCATCAAGAACTGTGAGAAAATACATTTCTGTTGTTTGAGCTGCCTAATTTGTGGTATTCTGTTACAGCAGCCTAAGCAGATTAATATACCATGTAAGCTCTATTTTATACATTTCAGGCAGGCATTGTATATCCATAGGGTATAATGGGTTATAATCAAAACTTCATAATACTGCATGATGTATCTTCCTGGAGTATTTATTTTATTCAGTGGGGACAATATAATTGGTTTCATATTAAAATATCCACATGCACGTTTATTAGATGAAAAATACAAAACTTCCATTTATTTTTAAAACAAATCAGGAGACCTGAAATAAATTTTGTGCTTGTTATGGGATAATTCAGCCTTCGTATCTAGATATGCATTCATTTATATGGAAAAGTTAGCAGAGCACTCCTTTTTTTCTGATAGTTTAATGAAGACATTAATGTCATTCATTTTAATCTGTATTTTATCATGTACCTCTAAAAAGCAAGGACTTTTGTTTTTTGGATACAGGGTCTTGCTCTGTCACCCAATCTAAAGTGCAGTGGCGTGATCACAGCTCACTGCAGTCTTAACCTCTGGACTCAAGTGATCCTCTCACCTCAGCCTCCCAAGTAGTTGGGACTACAGACAAGAGCCACCATGCCCAGCTAATTAAAAAAAAATTGGGGGAACTGGGCAGCGGCTCACGCCTGTAATCCCAACACTTTGGGAGGCTGAGGTAGGCGGATCACCTGAGGTCAGGAGTTTGACCAGCCTGGCCAACATGGTGAAACCCCGTCTCTACTGAAAATATAAAAAAATTAGCTAGGTATGGTGATGGGTGGCTGTAATACCAGATACTTGGGAGGCTGAGGCAGGAGAACTGCTTGAACCTAGGAGATAGAAGTTGCAATGAGCCGACATGGTGCCACTGCACTCCACCCTGGGTAACAGAATGAGACTGACTCAAAAAAATTTTTTTTAATTTTTTTTTCTTCTAGAGACTGGATCCCACTCTGTTGCCCTGGCTGGTCTTGAGCTCCTGGGATTAAGCAATCTTCCTGCGTTGGCCTCCCAAAGTGCTGGGATTACAGATGTGAGCCACTGTGTCTGGCCATAAAAGGCAAGCACTTTTAAAACCACAACTATAACACCAATATCACATCTAAAAAAACTTAGTAGTAATTTCTTTGTATCATTCAATTTTATTCAAATTTCTAATCAATGTTCAAATTTCCCTGGCTGTAGTATACACTTAGTATATAAATTAGATCTACATGAACTACATTTAATTTGAATTTAATAAATAGAATTTAAATTAAGCTAGGCACTGTGGTTCATATCTGTAATCCCAGCATTTTGAGAGGCCAAGGCGGGAGGATCACTTGAAGCCAGGAATTTGAGACCAGCCGGTGCAACAAGGCAAGACTTCATTTCTATTAAAAAAAAAATTAGGTGGGGTATGGTGGCACGTGCCTGTGGTTCCAGCTACTCAGAAGGTTGAGGTAGGAGGACTGCTTGAGCCTGCAGTGAGCTATGATGGAGCCACTGCACTCCAGCCTGGGTGACAGAGGGAGAGACTCTGCCGCAAAAAAAAAAAAAAAAAAAAAAAAAAATCTAAATTAGAAAGTGCTTCAATCAGGATTTCAGTTAAGATGCAGACACTGTTTCTCATATGTCTTTTCATCTATAAGTTCTCAGGTTACCTTTTCTTACCATTTATCTGTTGAAGAAACTGGGTTGTTTGTTCAGTAGAACTTCCCACAGACTGGATATTGTGATTATACTCTGTTATATCATTTAGACTGGTTTTTTGTACTATTTTTCTTAAAAATTTGACAATTAGATCTAGAGAGAAGCACGGCTTCCATTCATGTCATTTCACAAAGTTATTTCTATAGTTAGAATTCAGAGGCTCCAAAATACCTTGCTGCATGTTTAAGACTGCCTTTTAGAACCTTCAAGAGCTTGATGGACATAACTGGCCTTGTACAAGAGAATATAAACTCCTAAAAATAAAAGTCTCTTTTTTATTTAGATTAATTTTTATGACATGCTACCAATATAAATGTCATCAATTTAAGTCCTTCAACGAAACTCAGACCTACAAGTCAGTTTATTTTTGTTTAAAATGTTATTCACAGATATGTAAGTTTAGTTTCAAAATTATATGTGATGACTGAAAATTAATGAGATTAAAACTATATAAAACTTAAAAATAAAAGAACCACCATCCTGCAGGGACAAGTGACTAGTCATTGGGGAAAAACAACTGGCATCAAAATAAATACCAAATTTAAGCATAAAAGAAAAATATAATTCTAGAGAAAAATTTAGGAGGATATTTTTATAATCTTGGGTGGAGTGACAATCTGACATCAAAGACAAATATCATAAAGAAAAAGACTGACATATCTTAGTACACAGACATTTAAGAATCTTCTCTGTTTAAAGCCCTCTAAAAACAAAATCAAAATCCCATATTACCATATACAGTTTTTTGAGTTTTTTTTGAGACGGAGTTTTGCTCTGTCACCAGGCTGGAGTGCAGTGGCGCTATCTCAGCTCACTGCAACCTCCGCCTCCTGGGTTCAAGGGATTTTTCTGTCTCAGCCTCCCAAGTAGCTGGGACCACAGGCACGTGCCACCATGCCCGGCTATTTTTTGTATTTCTTAGTAGAAATGGGGTTTCACCATGTTGGCCAGGCTGGTCTCGATCTCCTGACCTCGTGATCCATCTGCCTCGGCCTCCCAAAGTGCTGGGATTACAGGTGTGAGCCACCGCCATACACAGTTTTAAAACAAGCGGCACACCAGAAAAAACATTTCCAGTATTAATGTCAAAGAATGAAAGTCTTTATTAGAGCTTTAAAAGGCAGTAAGAAAAATCTCCCCATAGGAAAATGGACAAAGCTCATAAAGATCAATTCATAAAAGAGGTTGGGCACGGTGACTCACATCAATAATCCCAGTACTTTAAGAGGCTGAGGCAGACGGGTCACCTGAGGTCAGGAGTTCGAGACCAGCCCAATCAACATGGTGAAACCCTGACTCTACTAAAAATACAAATATCCCAGGCATGGTAGTGCGCACCTGTAATCCCACCTACTTCGGAGGCTGAGGCAGGAGAATGGCTTGAACCCAGGAGGTGGAGGCTGCAGTTAGCCAAGATCATGCCACTGCACTCTAGCCTGGGCAACATGGCAAGACTCCATCTCAAAAAAAAAAAAAGGTAATTAAAATAAAAGAAAAAATATAAATGTTCAAATGCGTGAAAAGATGCTCGACCTAAATATTCATCAAAGAAATACATGCACATTATCACAATGGGATAGCATTTCAGATGAAAACTGATCACCAATGTACTCCCATACAGTTGATGAGAACATAATCTGGTAAATTTTTCAGAAGGAAATCTAGGCACATATGTTAAAAGAAACTTGTGCATACCCTTCTCCTGGAAATCTATCCTCAGGAACAATGAGACAAACACAAACACATATATAAAAAATATTCATTTGTGTAGCTTATAATTAGTGAAAAAAATGCTAACTTGTTAGTCAATAAATGGTTAAATAAGTTTTAGAGATTCAAAATACAGGTATAATATATTCTTATTTGTTTAAAAATTCAAATACATACATGTGTATAGAAAACATGGAGAGATGCAAAGCCTACATACCTACAGGGGAGGAGGGGCTGGAGGGAGAGGGAGAACTTGAGCTATACATCTCTCTAGAAGATTATGAGTAATTTTCACCTTGTTTCTTCTTTCTGTACTGTCTGAAATCTTCCCAAGATTATGCATTACACATTATATGTGGAAAAAATAATGATACTTGGAGGAAAAAATGCAAGATTTTACCAGCTTAATGTTCTGTTTCTAATCACAGCAGCCAAAGACATTTTGTGAAAAGCATGCTCACAATTACTTTAAATTACATAGTAGAAATACATCTAATTTAATCTATGTGTGTTAATTTAGCCTAAATGGTATTCTTTAATTACATTTTAGTCTGAAACTTCACAGAATAGTTTTTAAAAAATGTTTTTCTATTGATGAATCACTTTGCTATTTTCATATTATGTCCAGTATGTCTTTAAAAATATATACTATAATTCCTTTAATTCTCATTCATAGAAAACACAGCTAACTTAAATATTTTAAAATGAACCAAAAGAAAAATTCCTGATTTTTCTCCAATATAAATTTTAAGAAAGGGAAATACTCTTCGGTCAGGCCTCTAACTGGTTGTACAGACAAGAAACCAATTCGCCAATTTTTTCATGAATGTAAGAAAACACTAAGGAGCGAGATAAGGAGAGAGGACACCAAAGAAATGAGCAGGTTAAATGGCTCTATTGAAACGAACTCACCAAAATGACGCCCAAGCTCCACAGGTCACAGGACTCATCGTAGCCGTTCTGATTCAAGAGCTCTGGGGCCGCATAATGAAGGGTGAAGCATGGAGTTTTCAGGGGCTGATTATCTGGCGGCTTTAGCCGTGCAAACCCAAAGTCAATTATCTTAATTTCCAAATTGTCATTTTCATCAGTGAACAATAAATTCTGCAAGATATCAATGCTTACATCAGTTTCTTTCTAGACATGTCTTGGGATTTGCTGGTTCTATTTACGTAACACCGTACATTGATAGTTGATTCACGTGCAGAGAGATCTCATGGGGAGACCAGAAGGCAGGGCATCAATGCACTCTGCATGACGCTTTTGGTATTATTTCAATTTTACCACATCACGTGAAACATTTTTCAACTGCACTATCCTCTTCTGATGTCAGACCCTTTGTCTAAGCTTTTCCCTCTGCTTGTGTTTGTCATCTGCTTCCTCCACCAACCTACCTTCCCCCACATCTATTTCTCATTTAGAGTTACCATCCTAACCATCCTACCAAACTGAAGTTAGAACTTTTAATATTTTTTCCTAACACTACTTACTTTTCCTTTCTGGCACTGATCACCTCCGTATTGCTAGTTTAATGTCTTCATCCCCATTATACCATAATTCCAAAAGGACAGGGACTGTGCGTCTACCTTATTTTTTGACCCTACCCCAGGCTGGCCTGGCAAAGACACAGAGTAGGTACTTTGGTAAATATGTGTTCACTGAATAAAGTCACAAATAAAATAGTTATATAATATCTAGTATTGCCTATTGAAGAAGACATGGTGGAGATATCATTATATTTCAGAAATACCTTCTCCAACAGCTAATACTTAAACATATTTTGATACTTAGAGATATTATCCCTTAAATATTCAGAAAACATTATTATTTTGAATCATTCATCTACCAAGGCTTTTCAGTCACTAAGGCTTTGTAGTATTACTTTTCGTATTTATCACATGCTTAATAAATACTAACTGTACTGATGCACAAATTATTTTAATAAGTACATTAAACTAGTACTGAAAGTAAGTGAAATCTGATTATATCGTTTTTAGGCATCCTAACAAAATCTGTTATGCCTTTATAGTCATTAAATTGTTCCCAGCTCTGGAATATCATTTGCTTTGTTAATGCTATTCTAGCTGAAATAAAATACATTATAGAAGGTATCACTGATGCAAAGAAGAAAAATCTAAGCCTTCCATTTGCAAGTGAATAAAGTGGGTGGAAAGAAAAACAAAAAAAAAAATTAGCTAAAAAATGGTCTTAAATTTTCTAGCATACAATGTTTAATCATGAATTTGTGACAATGAAGTCACAGCTGGGGTTGATGGACATGTGCTTGGGAAGACGTCTTTCAGCAAATAACACCTGAGCTCCTCTGCAGTACAAGGCACTGTACCACACAGAGCAGCTGAATGAACCACTGCTGGCCTTGTCTTCATTGAGCCTGCTAAGTCTTTGGAAACGACTACGTTTATTCTATATTAAGACTGGTAAAGGGCTTCCTTGATTTTAGTTCTTTTTTTTTTTTGAGACAGTCTCGCTCTGCTGCCCAGGCTGGAGTGCAGTGGTGTGATCTCAGCTCACTGCAACCCCCACCTCCTGGATTGAAGTGATTCTGGTGTCTGAGCTTCCCAAGTAGCTGGGATTACAGGTGCCTGCCATCACGCCTGGCTATATTTTTTTTTTTTTTTTTTTTTTTTGTATTTTTAATAGAGATGGGGTTCTGTCATGTTGGCCAGACTGGTCTCAAACTCCTGTTCTCAAGTGATCCACCCACCTCAGCCTCCCAAAGTGCTGGGATTACAGGTGTGAGCCACTGCACCCGGCCAAATTCAGTTCTTAAAGGGGAAGAAGTGAGGGGATGTGGCAATCACTTCAATTTGGTGACTTTAATCCATTCCTCCGATTCCTGAGCATGTAAAATTGAGAAACACTGCTCACTTGCCTACATCTTCTCAAGCTCAAAGTCAGTGACAGTTCTACATGGAGGACGGTGTGTCTAGTCAGGAATGGTGGGAAGTCACCATTCAATCCCCTTTTATCCTCAAGTTCTGCCTGAAACAAATTGGATGTATATAACTTTTCTTAATCTCAGAAGAGTACAGGACAAGTTTCAAAAATACAAAGCAGCTTACTAAGAATGTCAGCCAGCTTCTAAATTTATCTGACTCTTACCTAGACTTTGGATTCTGCCTATACAGAAAATGAATCCACAAAGCTACCTACCAAAAGAGAGATAATCAGACCTTAAAGTGCCTCATGGGAAAATATTAAACTTTTAGTTTGGAAATGACATGTACTGCCATTTAAAAGCCAAAGTGAAAGATATTGTAGTATGAAAATATTAGTTCAAAGGTATATTTTCATTTCTCCAAAATCCAGTTTAAGACTATAATTGTAGTTGAAAGTCCTAAATAATCTGACAGTTCTGCCTCATTTCAAGTGAGTATTTGAAAGAAAAACAGTATAACAAATGAGAAGAATTAAGCTACATAAGTATCTTTTTATCAGGAAAGGAGGAATGCAAATCTAAATTCTGCAAGAGAGGACAGTTGCCTCATTTGAGACTCATGAGGTGACAGATGGCCAGTTTTCAAAGAATAAAACATGTGAAAATGAATTCTATACAGTCATGGAACAGATCTTTTCAATAAAAAAAACTACATGCTTGTTCCTTGTCTATCAAGAAAACATTTAAGTGGTGTGCTTTCACATTTAAAAATAGACAGCTAATCTCCAATGTACAGAGCACCATATTTTCAGTGGGTGTTATGTAGGAGAGTGAGAACTATGATGAAGGAAGCAGGGACAGCTATCACAGTTGCAAGTTAATAAAACACAATTCACTTTTGGTTAATTACTAGTAATGTGAATAACAGTAATACAAAATACATAAACAGAAGTTTAAATACATGAAAGGAATAAACCAAATATGCTTTAAGGCACAGAATTCCATTACAAAATTTTCTTCTGCATGTGAAGTTGAGACACTTAAGTACCTTGAATTATTAGAAGAGGAGGATGCTTGAAAAAACAAGCATCCTCCTCTTCTAATAATTCAAGATACTTAAGTAAAAGGCAAAAATAGTATTTTTAGAGAAATATTCTCTTGTGGCTTAATCACAAAAGGAACATCAAATAAGTTAATATTTTTAAATATACTTGATAATGTATTATAATCACATGATAATTAAACAATTTTGGAGAGAATATGTACAATTTTGTATATGGTAAAGGATGAATCATCTTTTTTTTATACATACTGGTTTTTGCTTTTCAATTTTCATTATTTTGTTGATTTTCTAAAAGAAAGGAATTTTCATATTTTTGATACTAAAAAGAGATCGTTCTAAGAGTCAGAACGTTTTCTATTGGCCTTTCCTAAGAGGAGATATATAAAAAGCTGTTACTTCTGCATAGTTCTATAAATATGATAGCACAATCACAGAAAGCACATAGAAAGATGGCATAACTAATTAAACCAAGACAATTCTTTAAGTATTTAGAGTAGCATTATATACATTTTTATTCATGAGCTAACCAATTTGATTACAAATGTAAAAAATAAGTTTTCAAAATACATCATTTAGAAAAAAACCCTCTAAAATTGTATGTATGAGATACTATTTTCTGCTATAAAAATTCCTGTTGCTATTTTTAGTTCACAACTGTTGCATAAAGTATTTTTTCCATAAAAGGCCCTCACACTTACAAATACAACCTCAAGATGATCAGCTGGCAAAAAACAAAGACAAATTTATTTTAACCTGAAATATAAAAGAAAAAAAAAATCCAAGAAACATATTTTTAATTATCTATTTGACAGCCCTGAAAAGCAAAAAAATAAGGAAACCTCCCCAGAAACCTCCCACACATTTGGGAGATCTTTAACAATGATGCTAGATTGGATTACATAAGAGATCAAGTTATTTTATACCTCAGGTTTCAAATCTCTGTGCACCACTCCAACATCATGCATGTGGCTTACAGCAGAAACAAGCTTCCTCATGATGTAGCTAGCTTCCGTCTCACTGAAGTGCTTCTTTTTCTTAATGCGTTCAAACAATTCTCCCCCATTCAGAAGTTCCATCACTAGAAATGTGTGAAGCTAGAAAAAAAAAAAAAAGAATAATGTGGTGGGCCTTCCTGAAGCACAGTAGAAGTTTATTAACATATACAACATTTATTGATTAGCACCAATAAGTTTAAATAATCTCTTGTTAAAATAATCAATAGCAATCCTTGTATCTTAGAGGAAAGAGCTGAAAGATACTGTAGCTATTTTAGAATTCTATTTCAGTAATGGAAAATTTCAAGTACTGCAGTGAAATCTTTATACTGTATATCCTTTACCCCTTCCATGATGAATTCTTTCATTTGTAGTGTTTTAAGAATGAGGTCTCTAAAAAGAAATCTGGCCTTAAATCCCTGGCCTAAGGGATTCTCTCATCTCAGGCCTCCCAATGAGCTAGGACCACAGATGTGCAGCACTGTACCCAGCTAATAATTTCATTTGAATTCCACTCCAACCCTCTCTACTAAGTTTACACGTTTCTTTTTAAACTGCTGACAATAATGTGAAATCACTTGCTTTAAACCATATAGACTCTGAATACCGACTGAGTATAATGGGCAACTGCCCAAATGAGGCCTGGCACACCCATCTAATGGCAAATTAATCTTTTAAAAAAGATATTGAGGCCGGGCTCAATGGCTCACACCTGTAATCCCAGCACTTTGGGAGGCTGAGGTGGGAGTTGCTTGATGTCAGGAGTTCAAGACCAGCTTGGTCAATACAGTGAGACTCCACCTCTACAAAAAAAAAAAAAATTAAAATTAAAAAAGTTATTGTTTGATACTGTCATTTTGAACCTCTTGTTAGGACTCAACAGATTAGTTTAGGGTTCCTATTAATATTCATTACAAAAACCCATAAACTCACTATGGGTTTCTGCTTTAATCCCAACAGCATTATCTTCACAGTTACTCTGTAAGTTATATGTTTACCATGCTTTCTCTTCTTCCCCACCCCTGGCCCTTTTCTGTCAGAATGCATAATTTCCATGAAGAAAATAATATGGGAACTATAAAAAAGTAAAGGACTATAATCCCAGCACTTTCAGAAGCCAGGGTAAGAGGACTGCTTGAGCCTAGGCGCTCAAGACCAGCCTACACAACATAATAAGACCTCATCTCTACAAAAAATAGTAAAAATTAGCCAGATGGTGGAGCACACCTATAATCCCAGCTACTCAGTAGGCTGAGGTGGGAAAATCACTCAAGCTCAGGAGGTCAAGGCTGCAGTGAGCCATAACTGTGCCACTGCACTCCAACCTGGGTGACGGAGTGAGACCCTATCTCAAAAAAGAAAAAAACAAAGGACTTAATCAGCTCTCAAATGAACACAAATGGTTTAGAAAAAGATATTATATCAATATACTGAATTCAGGTGCTAAGCATTATAGGGCCAACATCACTTCAGAAACAAAAATGTTTCCTTCTGTATTAGCAAAACTCAGAATAAACTGCTCATAAAAAGATAATTATCAGTACATTATCCTGAACATATTAGATAAATTGTAGAGTGAACACCCTTCTAACAAGAAAATTGCTCCCAGCCTGCTATACATCAAGCTAACTTGAGTTTCTACATCACACAAATAAAGTCGAGGCTGCAGGTCTACTCCAAGTGCAGGCTGGTGAGCTTTCAAAAGATGGAAGGCAATACCTGCAGTGCTATAAGAAGAGATTTAGAGTTCAACCTGGATTTGAAGGTGAATTCTGTTATTCATTCATGATCTTGGGGATGCTACTTTATCTTATTTTTTAGGATCCCTATCAATAAAATGCAGATAACAATGAGAAAATGTATGTGTGGTAGAGCTTGAATGATGGGCCTCCAAAGCTGTTCACGTTCTAATGCCCAGAACCTGTGTTGGTTACCTTGGAAGGATGGCAAAAGGGCCTTTAGCAAATTAAGGATCTTGAGATGGGAGATTATCCTGAATTATTCATCAGAGTTAGCAGTATGATATGTGACCCTGGAGGCAAGATCTTAAGAGCGATGCACGGAAGATTCATAGTCGAAATGTTGGAAGGTGTCTAGAAGCTACAAAAGGCAAGTAAATGGACTGTCCCTTAGAGCCTCCAGAGCAGTGGTCCTCAACTTTTTTTTTTTTTTTTTTTGAGACAGGGTCTCACACTATCACCCAGGCTGGAGTGCAGTGGTGCAGTCTCAGCTCACTGCAACCTCCCCTCCCTGCCCCATCTCAGGTTCAACCGATTCTCCCACCTCAGCCTCCTCGGCTTCCGGAGCAGCTTTGACTACATGCGTGTGACACCACACCTAGCTAATTTTTGTATGTTTTGGTAGAGATGGGGTCTCACTATGTTGGCTAGACTGGTCTCAAACTCCTGACCTCAAGTGATTCAGCTGCCTCGGCCTCCCAAAATGCTGGAATTACAGGTGTGAGCCAGGTCCCCAACTTCTTTGGCACCAGAAAATGGTTTCATGGAAGGCAATTTTTCCATGGAAGAGGGGAGGCGGTGCAGAACAGGCGTTAGATTATCATAAGAAGTGCTGTGACTTAGATCCCTCACATGCACAGTTCACAAAAGGGTTTGTGCTCCAGTGAGGATCTAATACTGTGGCTGACCTGCCAGGCAGTGGAGCTCAGGCAGGAGTGCTGGCTCACCTGCCGCTCACCTCTGGCTGTGTGCCTGGTTCTGCTCTAGAGAGAACTAGCCCTCCTGACAGCTTGACTTTAAGCCAATGAGCCTGATTCTGGACTACTGACCTCCAGACTGAAAAGACAATAAATTTGTATTGTTTTAAGTTTGTGGTGATTTGTTGCAGCAGCAATAGCAAACTCATGGAGTATGTGAAATGCCTATCACGGCACACAAAATGAACCACACTACTGCACAAAGGCTGAAGACCTATCACAACCAATTTTAACCATTAGTCGAAGAAAAGATTGGATACAGGGATGATCTAGGCAACTGTATCACCATCATGGGAAAAACCCAAGATACATTACAACTGCATATTAGATTGATAATGTAATTTATACTAGTTTGTTTAGGATCATATCATGTGACAATTTATATTTTACTAACTCCTGAATATATAAATAGCAAAACATCTACTGAATCTGTGACATAAATAAAATTTAGGAATGTAGTTCCTGGGACCTGACGTTAGTTTAAAGGTCACAGATCAAATATCTTGTCTGGGACGTAGGTACGGGTAGAGCTGCAAACCCAGACGGAACATCTAAGATCACCCATTGATTCCTTGAATGATCTGAACTTCCTCTATGTCATCTTCAATAGGAGACTGTCCAGGGAGCCTTTTCTTAAGCACCTTCGTGGCCAAGGGACTCCCTACCTCCTCTGGTGTCGAGTGGCTTGATGAGGCAGAGGAGGTGGAGGATCAGGGACAGCGGTTCCCCGAGTCCTTGCCTCAGTGGCATTTCTTTTCTGACTACAAGAACCAAAGAGTGAGTAGAGGATAACAGCATTCTTGGGTGCTTACTGCCAGATGTGATTCTGCCTTCCCTAAGGCAGTATTGCAAAGCAGATAAAAGCTGTTTGGGCTCTGAAATTGGACTGTGTGATTCAGATCCCAGCCTTACCACACTTACCAACTGTAAAACCTGTTACTTAATTTCTGTGAGTGTCCATTTTCTCACCTCATGGGTCTGTGGTAAGGACTGAATAAGATAACACATGCAGAGTGCCTGGTACAGGACCTAGACCACACGAGATATATGATAATAAATGGCAGTAGATATTATGGTTGTGGTGCTACTGTTGTTGCTGCCTGGCCTCACCACGGTGTATCATTCCTACCAACATTTCAGTGTGGTGGAGAACTGGGCCCCATCGATCCTTGGTCACAGATATTACAACAGCACAACAAAGAGCACCCAAAGCTGGAGTCCAGGTTCTCCTTAGTAGATTCGCTTTGACTTGCTCTGTGACCTTGGACAAGTTTTATGACCATTCAAAATCTCAGTTTCTTCACTGGTAAAACTGGAGCGAAGCACATTCAGGATTGGCTTGCACTCTTGTGCTTCCAAGTTGTCTTGAGTAGGACTGCATCACCTCCCCCGCCACCGCCAGTCTCAGGGGCAGAGAATAGTGTAATGGAGCAGTTTCTGTCATGGGTGAGGTGAACAGACATGAACTGGACACATGGGGCTCCTCCTCCCCACCTACTGCAAAGCAGGACTGAGAGTAGAAGAGGGGGCAGCCTGACCTGGCCAGGTGTCTGAGCAGAATTTACCACCTGGAGCTAGAAGATAAAAGGAGTATCTTTGCTTTCTACTTCCCATTTGTCCTTTAGCTTGTATTAATTAGGCTCCAGACTTTCTCAGTTCTACTCAAGAAGCAAAAGGGAATTTGGAGGCTCAAAATTCCTGAGTCCTGAGAAGTATTTCAGGACTAAGTGATGGTGGATAGCAGTTGCACTGGCAACAAGGACATTGTGGCTAATGACTGCACCACTGAGCTCCTGCCCGCCCCCCTTCTTCCTGTCATAGGTTCATAGGTGGCAACTACTGAGTGAGAAAAGCATGAGAAGCGAAGAGATAACCTGATTTGGGGTTGGGAACAGTGTGTGGCTGGGGAGGGGCTTGGGAGGGTGGTTTCTCTGCCCTTTCTGGTGGCTGGGTGACGTCCCATATCCCTGACTCTGACCCAGCAGCACCAACAAAACTGGTGAAAAGTACAACCTTGTATGTGAATTAGTACACAGAGAAAAAAAAGCAGGATACCTGATCATGAAAAACTTCATGCAACTTCACAATATTGGGGTGTCCTTCACAGAGTTTCAGAGCTGTTATTTCTTTCTGAGTATTGGCTTCCATCCTGCAAGATGAAACACTACATGTCTCTTCAGGCAAGTTTTTATATCAGTACTGCCCCAAGACTAATTTTGGTTTTATTTACATTGCATTCAGAATATACATGTTACAGTATATAGTAATAAGGGTTCCATGAAAGTAATGAATTATACCACATACTAGGAAAAGTAGTATTCTGGAGAAGATTATTATTTCTGACTCAGAAAAGTACAAATCATATGAAGAAATGAATGCTCTACTTGTCTGACAATTTGATAATAAGAATATGCAATCTTAATGATAATCATAAGTTACCAAAACAACTAGATGGTTCTCAAAGCTATCAGTAGCTTGCTAAATAATTTTAGAGAAAAGAGTTTCAAATATACAACTAGTAGAAATAGTAATGGCTGCTAAAATCACTGAGACTGATTAAATATGTCACTGTCACAAAGAAGTTTTCTCTGAACTTGAAAGCAAATGAAACTATGATTTATGTCTAACATGGATTAGTTTATGAGAAAATATCAATCAGAGCTAGAAGTATAATGGACCAACTGCTGAGCCAAGTGTTAAACCTATGGGTAAAAAAGTATTACAATGTAATACGGTTTCTTTTTTTTTTTTTTTTTTTTTTTTGTGATGGAGTCTCGCTCTATTGTCAGGCTGGAGTGCAGTGGCTCAATCTCGGCTCACTGCAACCTCTGCCTCTCGGGTTCAAGTGATTCTCCTGAATATTCATTTTAAATAAATACTCTTAATTTACAGAATTCATGAATACATAAGAAAGAATATTATATTATAAACGGTCATACCTTTTGCTGATTATTTTGACTGCAAAAGCTTGGTTACTTTTTTTATGCACACACTTTCGACAAATCGAAAAACTACCTTCTCCTAATGGTTTGTCCTTCAAATCTAGGTCATAGTGTTGATAGAATGGAGAGTCCTGTTTAGAAACCAACATCATTTAACTTGAGAAAATGTCAGTAATACACAAGGGATCAAATAAATTATACAGTAAAAGTATTAATATTAATAAATAGGAATAGGAGACATTTATAACCTAAAATTCACCTTACTTTATAGGTAATTTCGATTTTCATCTACATAGTTATTTAAGATACATAATACTCTATCATTGTGAAAAGAAGCTCATTCAACTTGACATTAATTCTTTAGGGAAAATAATTGCTATTTCCATTTTTTTAATTCCACTTTAGTTGAAGGGCAAATTTATGAAACTTACTAGACTTAAGAAGATTAGTTAGAAGTTGGTATTTAAACACTCACAAAATCTACAAACACGTCATATAAGTTACCACATCTATACCTTCATCATTGCACTCCTGGCGACATTTGTCACTCCAGGACGTTCGACTCCCATATGAAACTGAAGAGGGTCTACGACAGCTGCATTACGCTTGAACAGGATGGAAGGAGCAACGAAGGAATAGCCCTAAAAACAAGAAAAAGAAATATAAAGAAAAACGAATTGCAGTTTTCCAGTTTAGCACAGATTAGACTGTAATGATATTTTTTCTTAGAAAAACACTTAAATATTTGTTGAGATTGAGTCTAATTTTATTTTATTTGCAATCTAAAATGCAAGATTGTTTCAAATCATTTGAACAATGCTGTTCAGAAGGATATAATGCCATCTTCTGGTAGAACTAACCCAATTCAAAAATAAAGGTAGAACAAGACTTCTTCCTTATTTCACCCCTAAAATCAGACTCATAGATGAAATTTTCCTGGTTTGCTGATAAAAATTTGTTTATAAACGTAACTGACTTCTCAAAAAAATTCAGTAAATGCATTAAGCAAAGTGGTCTTTATTTTTTTATTAATATTATTTTTTTTGAGACTGAGTCTGGCTCTGTTGCCCAGACTGGAGTGCAGTGGTGCGATCTTGGCTCACTGAAACTTCTGCCTCCTGTGCCCAAGTCATTCTCCTGCCTCAGCCTCCCAAATTGCTAGGATTACAGGCACACGCCACCATGCCTGATGGGGTTTAGCCATGTCTTGAATTGGTCTCGAACTCCTGACCTCAAGCGATCCACCCGTCTCAGCCTCCAAAGTGCTAGGATTAAAGGTATGAGCTACCAGCCCCAGCCACAAAGTGGTCTTTAAATGCTATTGTTTTTCAAACTGGAAAAATGGCAAGTCTCATTAAAGTTAGTTTCTAGTTTAGCAGTTATTTGATTCTCATTTATATCTTCAGAATAATTAAATTTAAAATTGTGTTTTGGAAAGGAACAAAGTCTAATGGCAGAGTGATGCTCTGAGCCAAGTGATATAAAGATGGATGACTAATCCTTTCAAGCTAGAAACCCTTCACTTATCAACAAACATTCAAAAAAATGTTCAGTAAGTGCCCAGTTACATACTAAACACTGATAAGCAAAGAAGAAAAGACATAGTCTGGATGGCCAGATTAAGCATACTAAAGCTATACTGGTCAAAGCAAAGCTCTGATGCCATTTAAGAGTTAGAATATTTTATTTTTTTGACAAATATCCTTTTCTAAATATAAAATCTAAATCTTTTTTAAGAGTTAGCAGTTAAGACTAGTTATTGATGGTAAAGAATAAGATAGCGTTGTGAACTAAAGAGTGTTTTTATACAGGGGCTGGGCACAGTGCCTCATGTCTACAATCCTAGCACTTTGTGAGGCCATGGCAGGAGGATGGCTTGAGGCCAAAGTTCAAGATCAGCCTGGGCAACTAAGTATGGCTCTGTTTATACAATTTTTTTTAGCTGGGTGTGGCAGCACACATCTTGGTTCCAACTATTTAGGAGGCTGAGGCAGGAGGATCCCTTGAGCCCAGAAGGTCAAGGCTACAATGAGCTACGATCATGCCACTGAACTCCAGCCTGCGTGACAGAGTGAGAACCGGTCTATTAAAAAAATTTTTTTTTTTTTTTTTTTTTTGGCTGAACATGGTGGCTCACACCTGTAATCCCAGTACTTTGGGAGGCCAAGACAGGAGGATTACTTGAGGCCAGAAGTTCAAGACCAGCTTAGGCAACATAGCAAGACCTTATCTCTAAAAAAACACAAAAATTTGCTGGGTATGCTGGTTTGCACCTATGGTCTCAGGTATCCCAGAGGCTGATGTGAGAGCATCACTTAAGCCCAGGAGTCTGAGGCTGAAGTGAGCTAGGATAGCACTGCTGCACTCTAGTCTGGGCAGCAGAGTGAGACCCTGTCTATATAAAAAAAAAATTTTTAATATGAATAGAGGTAAAATAAAAGACTACTGTATTTTCTATAAAAGAGTCTGAAAAAAAAAATGTCAGGTATAAAATTAAAACTTCCCTTATGCCAAAAATAAACATGTAAACAATATCTGCTATTGAGCAAACTACAAGCTTCGGTTAACAACCTGCAATATTTCTGCACTTAATAATTTTGAAGATATTAGAGAATCCCATTTTTATGACGCCAACAAAACTACTTCGATATGGGAAAATTAATCTCTTCTTTCAAAGGATATATGGCCAGTGTACATGTGCACAGTATGGGAAATTACCTGAAACAGCTTCTCAGAGCTCTGGGGCAGGGCTGCAGGAGAATAAGTGGGATCCATTTCTGTGAACTCTTCTGCAAAGTTACTCACATCTAATTCATCTCGAATGACTGGCTTAAATGGTGCAGGCACTTTTTTGGCAGCTAAATCATCCCAATTTATTTTCTAAAACAAAGAAAGTTGGTACGAAGTAGAAATCAATAGCCAAAATGTATTTCCTAAGAATAATAAAGATAGATTAGAATTTTGACTGGTAGGGAGAGAGGATAAAAATAAGGGAACATATTTCAAATCAATAATAAAAAAAAATATATCTTTTTCCAAGCAAGACCACAGCAGTTTATAGCTTGAGCCCATGCTGTGCCTCCAAGATGAGACTTTCACTGTTGAATCTCAGAGTGTCCTCTGGGGGGCACCAAGACACCCTAGTTTACTCTTAAAGATAACAACAATACTTTTGTCCTGAGCCTCTTCAGAAAGGTGTTAAGCCAAAAAGAAAACAACAAAAAATCCAAAACAAAACAAAAAACTGAAATCAAGGGTTTCCAAATGCTCTGCGGATGTGGATATTAGCTCTAGAGGAATATTCCTGTTTTCTAGAGGTAATGCTACTTAGCTGTCCACCTGCACTTGCTTTTCCTCCTGGTCATCCCGACAGACTGGAAAATAAATTCACCATAAATCATGCATGTGCTTATGTCTAGAGATTCAAATGACACTATCATACTGATGCAATCACTCTTTTCTTATTCAATTGTGTTCAAGCATTTTAAAGACTGCTTCTTATGTCCCTCACAGAATGTAAGCCCCTTTTCTAACTAGGTCACTTCACTTACTGAGTTACAATACTGAAATCCAACCCTTTGCTGTTTCTTTGTGCTCCTACCATTTAAAATAACCTCAGATAACACTTACTGAATTAAATTCTACAGATCTCCTATTACCATATTTCTTCAAATCTAAGATGCCATCACTGATAGTAAGATACACAATTATTTTATGTATCATTAAGAAAAAAGTATTAATCATAGAATATAAGATGATGGTCACTGTAATATGCATACTAATTTCAGTGATGATAAAATATGAAAATGTGCACTTCTTGGTTGATAAAATTCAGTAAGTTTAATCAATTACCATATAATGTTTTTATTATGCTGTCTTGTAGATGCAATAGAAACAAAATAATTAAATTACAGATCTTCAAATTTCTCGGCTAAAATGCAATTGAGATCATTTAGTTCATCTTCTTTATTTGATCCAGTGAAACTGAAGCCCAGAAATAAGAAAGACTCTTTCATTCAAACACCAGTTGGTGGAAGAGTCAGGATTTGAACACAGTCTCTTGACTTTCTAATGAGCGTTTTTTTCTCTCTGCAGCTGTAATGTTTTCCATTACAAGCACATAACTTGTGCTTCGCTACTGTACATATATTAAGAGAAACTTCTATAGGAAAGGGGTAATTTAAAGAAACATGTTGTTAGCAGGAGAATGTTTAATATGTAGAAAATGGAATGCTGTTATGATCCTTTCCACCCCCACTCCATTTACAGAGAAAAAGGCCATTTAGGCCTTTACAAGTAGAACTCTGGTCTTTCCAAAAGTGTCCTGATCATTTAAAAAGTCAAGGCAATTAAGTAACCTAAAATTACTATTCCAAGCTACTGAAAAGATAAATTTCTCTAATATGAAAGACACATTGCAATATTCTCAAATACAGGGAGCAATGGAAAAAACAATCTTAGAAAAATATGATTGGGGGTACTTTACTCAAATCATTTCTTAAATTTTACCTGTTAATTTTTGAGATAAACTTCACAACAACTTGTTTGAAAGTGTGTTCAAAGACTAATCTTTCCAGGCCATGTGAATCTATGAAATACATATAATAAAGTTTATTTGATTCTAAATGTTTTTCTCATTATGTTACTGAACTTCTGTAAGATATGCAGTATTTTTTAAAAATTATATTGACAGACTAAAAGAAATATGCCCTTTTTTTGAGCACAGAAGTGCAGAGATAATTCTCATTTCCAATCAGTATTTGTTTTTATATATTTAAAAAGAAATAAATAACACAAGCTTACTTGACGAAAGAGTTTTTTCTTTCATTTTGATATGTTATTTTCATTTGTTTTGGTGATAATAATGTAAAAGCTTAATTTACGGAATAAAAAAAACCTAGATGGTCCCTTTAGACCATAATATTTGGGTCAGGCTTACTGATATGATGAAATGTCAGTGGAAAATTAACCCAAAGGGGACTGTGTTCATTAATTTCACCAAGAATGCCAAGGACCCTGAAAGCGGCAAGGAGTAGGAAACCATTTATCTATTCAATAATTTCACCTGAAAGAAGAGATGTTCTTTGATTTCATCTGCATCACGTGGACCACATCCCAGTCTCTTCTTGGGATCTTTCATCAAAAGACGCTGAATTAGGTCTTTAGCTAAAGCACTCATTTCTTGGGGATATGGAGGCTCACTTTTTAATATTCTCCTGTAGGCAGACAAAACTTGCTGTTAAAACAGAAAATGACAAAAAAAAAAAAAAAAAAAAAAGCATGGTGAAATACACTTTGAAACTGAACCACATATAAATAGTTAACATGTATTAATAACATCTCAATACTATTGAAGAAATATGAAGTCAAATTTCTGAAACTCGAGTAGGAACAAAAAATGCTCGCTCATTTTTCAGTGTAAGTCAATCCTGGTGGGAGGCTACATCCCAACTATTTCATTAGGGGGAGAAAAGGAAAAGCTTGGGACTAGATTAGACCTCCCATATATAGACTAGACTCAATGATTAAAGACTTCACAACATATAACACTCTTAACAAGTTCAGATAAGTGAACTGAGCACTCAGATTTAAAAGTACAAAAGACAATAAGCCTCTCCACCTCACTCCTCTTCCCTTGAGTGTCAGCAAACCTAAGGGGCCCATGGGAATGCAAAGGGCAGTCCACTGAGACAAGAGGGGGTCAGACCCACCTGGAGATAGTTCAGCTCTTGATATCGGGAAATGGGCACTAGAGCTGGAGCTTTTCTTGGGGTAAAAGTATCTGCTTCATTGTTTGCTGCTATAAAATGGCCAGAAAACCCCTATGAGACCAGTCGAGCTCAGAGATGGAGTAAAGTCCACAATTTATTATGGAAAATAAAAATATAAGATGGTAATCAAGTTTCTTGATGAGAAATTTATTCTGAGGTCACAGAAGAAATCAATTCAATCCAAGTGTACCTTTCTCCTTCTTAAGATCCAGATCAATAATTTATTAAGAAATATTGAAAGGACTGACCGAAATGAAGAACCTTAACACAATATATATGAAGACAAACAGTTACTACATTAATTGGGTATGCTAAAAGATTACCTATTGTGCATTCAAATATTAATAACCATTATGAAACAAAAACAGATAACTAATGTATAAGACACAGTATAGTGTGGTGGGTTAGAACACAGACTTTGGACCCAGGCTGAGTCCAGTGATGGCTTGGCTTGATCTCAGGTGACCTTGAGACAATTAACCTCTGTACTTCAGTTTTCTCACCTGCAAAATGGACATAACATCAGTACCTACCTAAAATGGATATTACGATGCTTAAATGAGTTAAGACCTGTAGAGTGCTTAACACAGCACCTAGTGCATAGCAGATGCTCAATAAATGTGGGCTACTGTTATACTCCCTCATTCTACGGCAACCATATAAAAAATAGGCCTAGATGCTCTATCAAGTAGCCACTGAGAATGACTGAAATGATAATGAAACTGTAATTTTTAACAAAAGATTCCAGCAGTGTTGTTAATCTCAAAGTTAATTCTACCTCTAGCACTTAATTCTTGGAACCCCCAAAAATGCTGGTAGAACAAGGAAAAAAGTAAGCAGCAGCCTGTCTTCTTTTTGATTCTGTAATACTCTCCCACTGCTCACTGCTTGTCTGAATTTTCAGCATTAGTAGACAATCCTCTTCTCAGATCAGATACAGATACATCTGAGAAATAAACGGGGAAACCTGTTTCTCGGGGAAAAATAAAGATAGCCTTTCCCATTTTCTCTACCTCTACTGTACTTTTTGCAGAAAAAAAAATTTGGGTAAAAAAGAATCAGGGTCGAGATAAGCAAATTGTGACATTTACTTTTGTTCAATCAGGTAGAAATACATGCACTTTGGCTGACATCATCTTAGCATACTGACCCTGCACCATCTACTACTTCTTAAACCTTAAGAATACTGCAACGTGTATGAAAATCTACTTGATACCAGGCGCTGGGGAAAGAATGTCAATCCTGTGAAAACAGAAAGGAGAAATGTCCAGCATGGTGGGTCCATCCTCAAAAGGAGTACCCAAAAACAGAAATGGCTCTGCTGAGATGCCAAGTCTGGAGAGAGGAGCACAAGGAGACCACATGCAAGGAGGTAGAATTTTAAATTCAGATGAGGCAGGGACCACACAGCAGGAGAAATTGAGTAGAAATCTGAAAGAATGTCTGCAGAAAACAGTGCTGATACGGGAGCTTGAAGAACCGTCAGTGATGGCCTGAACCCCTTCCTTTCCTGAGTGAAAATCGTATGGCCAGAAGCAGCAGCAGGGACCCTAGCAAATGTAGACGAGTTATCTTGCCCCACTCTATGAAAACAGAAGGTATGTGGAAGAAACATCACTTAGGCTCCCTGTTGTCTCGGTAAACCGAATACCACAGAGTTTCCCTAGTGAGGTGAGGAGGTTCTAAAGCCTATTCCTGTTAGAAAACTGCAGTGCCAGGAAGAGAACCAGACACTGGGAGTCATGTGGTGAGGAAAAAGGACCTAGAGCAGGCTACATCTTTTCTCCATGAGAAGGCAGTACTAGATGTAACTTTTTCTTATACCATTTCCTTGAAATATACTGAGTTAAGATAACGGTGGCGTGACAGCTGGGTCAGGTGCTGTGAAAGATACTCCTGGAAGTGGACTGCATCTGGACTGAGAGGTGTGAGCAGGCATGCAGACCCCTGGAAGCCATGCATGCTCAAGAGCTGTTATAAGGGACAGTTGCTGTGCTGAGCTTCCCATGCTGGGGTGGTCCACACGTTCCCACTTATTCTCATCACCAATGGTTGAGGGTGTCTTCTGTGGGCTGGGAAACCACACATAGGTGGTGGGAAGGTCCTTGATGAAGACGTGTTTGATGCTGTAATGTTTCCTGTCCTGCATCCTTATATAAAGCTAACTAAAACTGGTGCCCGATTCCAGTCTATTGTGACATGTAAGTATGAACATCAAGTGAACCCCAGACCACTGCTGGCTATGCAGAATGGGCACTGCAGAAGTGGGGCTAGGGGTAGAGAATTCTGTGAGACATTTAGTCATAACAATACTAGAGCATCCTGCAACAGGGGCAGGAAGACATTTCTTGGGTACTGCTGTCACTTCTCCAATGTGCTTGATTTCTGAATTGGTAATATCCCAAAGTTATCTTTTTCTTGCTTAAAAATGGATCTGGAAAACTCCAGAAATGAATTACAATTAGGTAGAGCCCAAATAAATCTTAGAGCCTTCTGAAAAGTCAGAAAAACCTCTGAGTTGACAAGCCATATTAAACACTTCATGTGTGTTATTTAATCCATATAATAATCCTATCAAAGACTGCTATTTTTATCCTTTTACAGAAGAGGAAAGACTCCTTTCAAAAAAAACAAGAAATATGAATATTGAATAAACTTGCAACAAGGATTTAGAACATGGGTGACTTAAATACTCATTTTTAAAATATGTAGCACAAATAAGAAAACTCTGAAAAAGACAACTCCAGTGATTTGCCTAGCCACATATTACAATGTGTCATGAAATGAAACTGTTAAAGTGTAGTATTAGCAAAATAAATTAACAGCCAAATCAAGTGAACACAGACGACACGTTTGAAAAATTACTAAGCTTTTATAAAAACTTGTATTATTATTATTTATTTTATTTTGAGATGGATTCTCACTCTGTCGCTAGGATGGAGTGCAATAGTGCGATTCTCCTGCCTCAGGTTCAAGCAATTCTCCTGCCTCGGGTTCAAGTGACTCTCCTGCCTCTGCCTCCTGAGTAGCTGGGATTACAGGCACCCGCCACCATGCCTGGCTAATTTTGGTATTTTCAGTAGAATGAGGTTTCGCCATGTTGGCCAGGCTGGTCTTGAACTCCTAACTTCAGGTGACACATCTGCCTCAGCCTCCCAAAGTGTTGGAATTACAGGCGTGAGCCACCACGCCCAGCCAAAAACATGTATCATTTTTTAAAAAATTACCAGATCATGTACCAAAGGCCACAAATGTTGGGGAAACCAACTGTACAGGAAACAAACAATAAATAATGCAAGACTCTTGCCTTATACTACAACCCAAATGAATTCCAAATGGATTGAGGAACTGCATTTAAAATATCAAATGAAATAAAATTAAAATCCACACCAATAATATAAAAATGAATATAAAATTTCTTCCTACTGATGAATTTTCCAGAAACCTCTGTGGCAAAAAGAATTCACAAGTGATTAGCTTCAGAATGTACAGAATATAGGGTAAAGATACCAACATTAAAATTAAACCTATGATGGGAGAGATACAGATACACAGGCACAGGTAACAAGCGAGGATGATAAAATATTCATGGCAGAATGTAGTTAGTGAGTGCGTGGGTGTCCACTGTAACAAATGTTTAAAAACTTTTATAATAAAATGTTTTACAAAAAGTAAAACTATGAAACTTTGTACATGTGTTTTTCTATGTTCACTGAAATATAACAAAGACCTGTCTCAAAAAAAAAAAAAAAAAAATCACTGACATTTAAGCACAACAGTCTTAGTAACAATGGGCGATGCTCACTTCTTAAACCCACTAGGTTCTTTGTTCAAGTGTCAACTTTTCAGAGAAGCCTGCTCTAACCCTCCTATCAAGAACAGCCATTACCTCCATACTCCTTATCCCTTGGCTCTATTTTATTTTTCTTCATGTATATCATATATTTATTTGTCTATTATTTCTCTCTCCCAACTAAAATATAAGTTCTAATGGAGTAAGAATTCTGTTTTGTTCACTGCTTTATTCCCAGGGCCTAGAACACTGCTTAGCATACAGCAACTCCTCAACAAATATTTAGTGAATAAATAAATGGTCAAATTGTTTTCCACTTACTGTATCTTGCCCACTCAGGATCTCTTTTCCTCACAGTTTCAGTGAGATGCCTGCAAATAACTCTTTTGCTTTTCTGCAAATGGCATGCGTTCTCATGGGTTGTTTATTTCTATTTGTCCTCCATTTAAAAGTTCACAATCTTTTCCACTTCATGACTTTTTACTTCCTGGTTCCCATGTGGTCCCAGAATTACAAAATTGTTGACATGCCTGCCTGAGTTACAAACAGCTTTCAGTAAACTTCACTTACTCTAAATTTTTGTCCAATACTAGGGGAAAAGTTTAGCATATTATGGTGTATCCACTCAATCGTACATTATCCAGCCATTACA